AAAAAAAAAAAAAATCAGCTTTGATACTACTTGGATTCAAACGAAATCAACTTTATTTGACCCATTTAGGGCCCGAAAAAGAATTTATTGTTTGATTTTGTATGGGCTTTGTTAATAAACAATGTGATGTGAATGTTTGGGCTTAAGTTATAAGAAAAATAATGGGTTGTGGCTTATTTAAAATATTCTGTTACTAATTTTTTTTATTGGGCTACATCAAGAAATTCGATTGAGCTTCGAAAAATTATGGACGTTGTATATAAACAGTGTTTAATTATATTTGAATTTTCTTTCTTAAAACGTTTTTTTCAATGATTATGTTATAATTTTTACTATTTTTATATTTTTTATTATTTTATTTTTTATCATATGGTTTTTCGTGCAAATGCACGGTTAACAACTAGTTATTTCTCAATTGGTATATTTATATTTAATGTAGTTATATATTGTAAATTAAAAAATTAGTATAATATAACACAAGTAAGTCGCACAAATAAAAAGTCTCATAATAAATATATAATAATATATATATTCTTATAAAAGATATTTAAATTTTCAAACTACTTTTTTCATTAATTTTAAATTTTAAAAAAAAATTAGCAAGTACCGTGTAATGGTATTGAACTAATTAAAGAAAATAAAACGTCAAAAGCGAAATCATCTCCATGCAAGTTGCGAAATAGTTCTTTTGTATATTTTAATTCGTTCGGATTATTGAATAATCCTCCTTGTGTTTCACAAAACTATTAGTTACTCCAACTATCATATTTCTTTTGTATGTTTTAATTCGTTTCAATTATCAAACGAATGGCAATGGATCGGACTGGATCAATAAGAAAACATTTATTTAATTTTGGGATATACTTGTTATGTTTGACTGTTCATTTTTTTAATTTAAAAAAATGAAATTGAAAAATTGGTAAACAATACTATTAATTTTATATTACTTTCTTCCTCTACATCTCTACAATCCACAATCTCGATTAAAAAATCAAAAGTAATCGTTATTAAATTTATATTAAAAAAAATTACTCATTTAGTACTTATATATTTATTGTTGTGGTATCATCACAAGATCATAATCATAGTTGAGAGAAAAACAAGTTTCTATTACTCACAAGAATAAAAATAAGAGATTTACAAACTTTAAAAAAATACTCTTAAACTCTCCACAACTCTACTTGGTTGTGTTTAACACTCTCAAGGTTGATTGATCACACTCTATAATGATTTAAATGAATGAAATGAGCACCCTATTTATAGATACAAACATGCACACGTTGCCGACAAATAGTGTGTGATAGGAGAAGTTTTGGTGCAGGCAGCCATTGAAGATTTCTTCAATTGTGTGTTGCAACTTGCATGAAACTTTCAATTCTCTCCTTTGTCACATAAGTTTTGAAAAAAATTCTTATTATGTCTCTGCATAGCTTAAGCTTGTCCAGTGTAACTATTTTTGTTAACATATCTAATGGATTCTCTTTCGTATTGATCTTCACTAGTTTCAACAGTTGTTGATCAATCTTCTCGCGTATCCAGTGATACCGAACATCAATATGCTTTGTGCGGGCATGGTACATAAAGTTCTTGCTTAAGTCAATACAACTTTGACTATCACAATATACCTTATACTCTTTCTACTTGATCCCAAGTTCATGGAGATAGTGTTTTACCCACAATATTTCTTTACCAGCTTCTGCGACAGCAATATATTCAGCATTTGTTGTGGATAAAACAACACACTTCTGTAATTTTGATTGTCAATAAATGGCCCCCCCTGCAAAAGTGTAGACATAACCCAAAGTAGACTTTTGACCAGGAATATCTCTGGCCATATCAGCATCAGTATATCCTTCAAGATCGGATCATTGTCTAATTTGTGATTTAAATTAAAATAATAGATATAACCAACTATGATTTAAAATATGTATAAACGATCTCTAAGTAAAACGATCGGAAATTCTATAGTGCCACATGTGGCACCATAACACGTGCCACATGTGGCACCATAGAATTTCTGGTAAAACGATCCCTAAATCTATAAAAATTGATTTAATTATATTTAATGTGTAACTTTATCAAAATTCATATTAAAGAAAATAAAATGTCAAAAGCAAAATCATCTCCATGCAAGTTGCGAAATAATTCTTTTGTATATTTTAATTCGTTCGGATTATTGAATAATCCTCCTTGTGTTTCACAAAACTAGTAGTTACTCCAACTATCAATATTTCTTTTGTATATCTTAATTTGTTTCAATTATCAAATGAATGGCAATGGATCGGACTTGGATCAATAAGAAAACATTTAATTAATTTTGAGATATACTTGTTATGTTTGACTGTTCATTTTTTAATTTAAAAATACGAAATTTAAAAATGGTAAAGAATACTATTAATTTTATGTTACCTTTTTCCTCTACATCTCTACAATCCACAAACTCGATTAAAAATCAAAAGTAATCGTTATTAAATTTAAATAAAAAAAATTACCCATTTACTTATATATTTATTGTTGTGGTATCATCACAAGATCATAATCATAGTTGAGAGAAAAAAACAAGTTTCTCTAATTCACAAGAACAAAAATAAGAGATTTGTAAACTCTAAAAAAATACTCTTAAACTCTCCATAACTTTACTTGTTTATGTTTCAATACTCTCAAGGTTAATTGACCACACTCTAGGATGATTAGAATGAATGAAATAAGCACCCTATTTATAGATACAAGTAAGCGCACATCCTAGAATGAATGAAATAAGCACCCTATTTATAGATACAAGTAAGCACACATTGTTGACGAATAGTGTGTGATAGGAGAAGGTTTGGTGGAGACAGCTATTGAGGAAAAATTAGAAATTTAGTCCTTTAAGTGGTACCTATTTGAGGTTTAGTCCTGTAAGTAACCCACTTTTAGAAAGCATCCCGACAGGGTAATAAGGTCACATTCGGGCTAATTGAGGCCAACGGCCCAGATAAAAAACACAGCAAAAACAACACATAAAATTACTAAACTATCAACAAAATAAAAATGACACAAACTAAACGAGCCATTCCTAAGCAGCAACACCTAATCGAACCAGCAGAAACAAGTCGACCATGAATCCCGTAACTAGAAGCACCGACCTCGAAACTGCCTATACTACTTGGTTGCCTAACAGAGTCGAAACCTCGACCCTGGAACCGCAGCAGGCCAACCCGCACCACGGCTACAACACCCAATTGCCACGAACAGACAAAAGAGTGCCACGACCCCTGCCCCGACCCTAAATCACCTGGAAGCTACCCAAAAACCACCACACCACTGCAGCAACACCCCGACCAACACCACTTGAGGAAGAATTGACGTGACGACCCTCTTCGACCCAAAAAACCGAGTACATGTGGGAGATGGCCTTGAGCACAAGCACTGCCCCGATCACCCAACAAACAAGTCGTCGACCAATCGAGTCGTGTCCCGTCCCAGGAACCGCACCACGACTCTACCACCGCACGACAAAGAAGCCCCCAACGTGAATTCACGAACCAGTGCCGAAAAGACGAAAGCCATCTGTGACAGACGAGGTCCCGTTCCATTGAAATCGAAAGGTGGAGAAGAAAAAAAGGGGCGGGATCCAAGCTGCTAGGGGCCAGAGACCACTGGCTAAGCGCGATGGCCGCTGAGGAAGGCGGACGGTAGCACTGTCAAACGGGCCGGTGGCCCGCGGGCTGGCCCGTCCGCCCGCTTAAACGGACGGGCTTGGGCCTTTTCTTGGCCAGCCCGTTCAATCGCGGGCCTATTTGGCCCGCGGGCTGGGGAGGGCTGGCCCGTTTTTTTTTTTTTTTCTTTCTTAAAAAATTATATTATTAAAATTTAGTATTTTTTATTTTACTTATAACTTCTAATTTGCACATAAAACATTTTTTACATAATAAAAAACTAATAAATCAAATAATATTTTATGTCAATTAAGTCGCTCATGCGCGTGAATACCCTATAACTATTGATAAAAAAAATAGAAATAAAAACTAGATGACAAATATTTAATATCATTACACTTGAAACATTACTAGTTTATTAATATACTAGTAAATATAAAGATAAACAAACCAAAAAATATATAAAAATGCGAATACCATAAAAAAAATAAAAAAAATAAATAGATAAAACCCGCGGGCAGGCCAATTTGGCCCGCGGGCTAATGCGGGCGGGCCACGGGCTATGGATTTCCCAGCCCGTAGAAATGTGGGCCATTTTGGCCCGCCCCGTTTGAACCGCGGGCCAGCGCGGGCCGGACCGGACCGGCCCGTTTGACAGTGCTAGCGGACGGCTTCAAATCAAAAGAGAAACAACAAGGATTGGGCCGAGGGTTTTTCCGCGGAGAGAAGAGAGACGGCTTTTGTTTTTTTTTTTTTATTTAACTAAACTAATTTCTTTTTATGATATAGTCCAACCCCTCAAAATACATAAATATTAAAACTGTTATAGTAGTAATTATAATATTAATTAATTTGTCATTATCCCTCAAAATTAAAAAAAAAATACATTATTCATTATATTTATGCAACCAATAGAGTGATTCATATATGATTAAATACTTTGCACTGCATAGTTTTACTTGTGATTAAGTTTGTGAAATATGTTATAATTATCTACTTTATAATTTTAATGTTATATGAATGCATAAAACCTATAATATTTTTTTTATATATTTGTGCATATTAAGTACTAGTATATATAATTGTTAGCAAAAAAATTATGAAATTATTTTCGTTTTCCCGCTCTTCTCCATTACACTTTGCATTCATCAATTAATTATATTTATATATATATATATATATATATATATATATATATATATAATTACTAGCTAATGCATTTAATAAAATATTTAATAAAACCTATTTTCATTTCCCTCCAAAAGGAGTTACATTTTTTTAATTAATTACTCATTAATCTTCTAAAACTGTTACACCTTAACATATATTTTTTTATTATTTAATTTTTGGATCAGTTACTAAATTAATTCTAAATTCAGTAGTAAAATATTCAAATGTGTAACAACTAGTGTTGGAACTTAGAGTTGATTGACACATTCAGAGCTGTAACCGCTATATTTTGTTGCATTGTTGGAAGAAAAATATAGCTTGTGTATATTTTTTTTTTCTAAAATCAGAAACACCAATAATTTTTTTTATTTATGTTAATTTTCTTAATATATGCCACAAATATATAAATTATTTTATTCATGTTACTAATGTAAACGTTGTATGATTGAAATAAAATTTAAATCTCAATTTATTTTGAATGATAAAAATAACTTAAGAAAAAGTAACAATTTTTATATGATAGAAGTACATGTCTAATTAATAAATACAAGCAAAAATGTGTTTTATATCTGTGCAAATGCACATGATCTAATACTAGTTTTATTGTATAATAGCTAGTATTAACTAATCATAAAGTCACATTAAATGATATTCTATTCTGTTTTTTCAAACCATTTATTTGATTTTGTTTAACTCATTAAGTAATTTTATTATTAAAATTAATTAATTAATTTATGGCATAATCGAACCCTGTAGAGTTCCGCACACGAATGCTATAATAATAAAAAATTGTCAATGGAACAAGCCAGAGGAAAGAGGAATATGGAACAACACTCCGGGGCAGTACAGTCAACCTGAGACAGATAGTTCTCAGCAAACTCCAATTCCAAATAGGGAGGCAGCCTCTACGCATATGAGTGACCAACCACAATGGAGCATTCCCAAAAGCGACCAGATGATAGAGGCTCCTAAAAGAACAGATCAAAGTGTATGCGTAGTGGAATCGGCAGCGTCCAAAAAGCAAGGGGAGCGGACAGAACCAGTGGGTGAGTCGAGCTCAAAATTTCAGGTAGCTAGGAATTTGACTGCAGGTCTAGTGCAATCTATGAATGAAACCACATCTAAGACTATGGAGGTGGATGCACTTCAGCTGAGGCAAGAGCTTATGATAATTCCTCAAATGTCAACAAAACCTTTGAAAACTTGGAAATGAGCTGCAGTTGGGGAAGGCAGATTAATGAGGAAAGCAGATAGTGGAACGCAGATAGCCATTGTAGCTGGGAATAAAAGACCATGGGTGGAAGAGCAAGACAGTAATGGGAAGAGCAAGATAGCAGCAAAGGTGGATAAAGGAAAGAAGCACAAACAGTCAGGTGATGATAGGGTGAAGGCAGCCATCCCTAAATGGCTCCCAAGTGAACCATGAAGGCTATGGTGTGGAACTGTAGAGGTCTGGGTGGGCCCTCTACAGTTCCCCAAATTCGAGAAGCTATTGCAGCTCATCACCAAAATTTTATTTTTCTTTCAGAAGTTAAAAAACAAAAGCCTTCTCTGTTTCTATTTGCAACAAACTTGGTTTTGGAGGTAGATCTTTTATGGTGGAACCTGAAGAGACTAGGGGAGGTCTCTTATTAATGTGGTCAGCTAAAACTATTGTTTGTCAGATAAAAGAGTATGATTTTAATCTGCACGTGGAGTACAAAAAGGAGGGAGAAGGGACATCATAATGGATTGAGTTGGTTTATATGAGAAATGATAAATACATCAGGAAGGCTCAATGGAAAATTTTGGAAAGGGACAAAAAGAAATGGGGAGAGAAATGGTGCATTGCAGAGGACTGGAATGAAATTAGCAGTATGGAGGAGAAGAAGGGGGAAGGATCAGAAGTGCTAGGAGTTTTCAAGGTTTCAACAATATTATTGCAAGAATGAGCATGAGTGAAATCTAGATGCAGAGATATTAATATCTCTGGGGGAACATTAGGGACAATGAGGGTTATGTGGAGAAAAACTTGACAAGGCATTTGGCTCTTTAGAGTGGATATCTGAGAATGCAGGAGCTAAGGTGATTAATTTATCAGATCATGGGATGCTCATCCTTGATAGTGAGGGACAACAACAAAAGAAGGCTAAGAGATTCTCTTTTGACAAAAGGTGGGTCAATATAAAAGGCTGAAAGCAAGTTATAGAGGAAGCATGGGGCAAACCTCACTTTGGCACTTCTATGTTTATTCTCAAAGAAAGCATCAAACAAACAAGGATGGCTTTGCCTCATTGGAGTAAAAACTTTAGATCATAGGGGAAGGAGAAAATCAGAAAGCTCACTCTGAAGCTTGAGGAGATGAGGGCATTAGGAGGATATAAGAACTGGCAGAAATTGGAGGCCATGAAGCAAGAATTGGAGTTGGCTCAGTGTTCTGAAGAACAATAATGGATGCAGAAATTCAGAGTGCAATGGCTCAAGAAAGGGGACCTTAACACTAAGTTTTTTCATGCTTACACCATGCAAAGGAGAAAGAGAAATGCACTTACCAGACTAGTGGAGGGCAACCAGGTGATTGATACTGAACAGGACATTGAAGAGCATGTGGTGAACTTTTATCACTCTTTATTCTCATCTAAAGGCTCTGTGGGAGAGAATCTTGTCCTCCAATACATCCTTCTTTCTATCACTTATGAGATGAACAGAGACCTTATTGCACATGTGGATAATGATGAAATTCAGAGGGCTCTGTTTCAAATGAGTCCCCTTAAAGCTCCGGGAGAAGAAGACCTCACTACTCTATTTTACCAGCACTATTGGCTTATTATTCAACACAAGGTGTGTGCACCAGTTCAAAGTTTTTTTTATTTCATCTGGGCAGATTCTCAGGTATTGGATTCATACCCTTGTGTGCCTTATTCCTAAGTGCTTAAATTCAATCTCTCTATCTCACTATAGACTTATAGGTCTTTGCATTGCAGTACAAGCTCATTTCTAAAATTTTGGCCTCGAGATTGAAAGGATGTCTGTATGTGTGCATTAGTCTTACTCAATCTGTTTTTATTCCGGGTAGACAATTGCTAAATAATGTGATTATTGCTCAAGAAGCTTTCCACATTCTAAATAGACATAGAACAGACAATAATTGCTTTATGGCTATAAAATTGGACATGATGAAAGCTTATGATCGTGTTGAGTGGCAAGGGTTGAGGCAGAATATGTGCAGAATGGGTTTTGATGAGTTATTCATTAAATGGGTTATGGCTTGTGTTACCTCCTCTTTTTTCTCTTTCTTGCTGAATGGTAAAGCTGCTGGGTATATTACTCCTTCTAGGGGTTTGAGATTATATCTAAAGTGTTGTCCTATTTGATTCAATTAGCTGCTGATGTGGGCACTTTTAGGGGCCTCAGACTAACCAGGGGTGGGCCCACCTTGACTCATTTACTCTTTGCATATGATTCTCTGGTGTTTTGTACAGCAGTACAAGGTCAAGCTTGCCTTTGGATGAGTATCTTAGAATCTTATATGTTGTTTCCTGGGCAGAGAGTCAATTTGCTAAAATCTTTAGTTTCTTTTAGCAGAAATACTCTGGAGCATGTGAAGATTTCTATCTGTTCTACTCTTAATGGAATCCAGGTTCACAGCTCAACCAGATATCTGGGGTTACCCCTGGGTATTGGTAAGTCCAAAGCAGAAGCTTTTAGGTTCATTTTGCAGGCTGTAAGGAACATATTAGTCAACTGGAAGAACAAATTTCTATCTACTGCTAGGAAGGAAATTTTAATTAAGGTTGTGTTAAATTCTTTGCCGGTTCTTACTATGGCCTGTTTCAAATTGCCAGTAGGAATATG